TACAAATTTTACAAGTTCAAATATTAAGTTTAATTTATGTAAAATCAAGGCAATGATTTTTTTTATTCAAGTTTAATTTATTTTCTTGATAAAAAGACGTTAAAAAGTGTGTTCATGTTTTATGTAAATTATACATGTAACTTTTACTGCTTAAAGAGAAACAAAAATATATTAAATTATATAAAACTATTATATGTATTATATTATATAAATAAAATAACAGCAATGCAGAAAGCACTGATGCAATTTATAATTTATATTTTTTAAGATATTGAACATATTTTATAAGCGCAAAAATATAAAAAAAAAAAAAAACAAATTTTATCGAGAATAAACACAAGAAAAACAGCAGATTTTATTTACTATAATTATGCATAAGATTAATATTAAAATCAATATTATGCATAAGAGGATGTAAATTTTTTTCGATTATTTATACTTATCGTAATGTGAGCAATGGAGTCAATTCAATCAGTCATAAAACTTGCAATAAATTCAGTCATAAAACTTGCTATTTTTGCCCCCATAAAGCATACATTAATTGCTCTTTTCAGAAGAAAAAAAATCAGAGAATCAGCCGAAGAGAGCCGTCATCCATTAAAACGCAGAAACTTTTATATTGAATAAAAACTAAGATAAGATTATTGATAAACTAAGATAATGAATACTCTTCCTTTGAACAATTCTTGGAAAATATTTTTTTTGAAAGTGATTCCTTAAGTGCGCGCGCACACACACACACACACATAAATATTATACATATAAATCTATTTTAAACAATCGATTATATTGTTTTCCTTTTGATTACTACATATTCTTTTACTTGATTACATTGAAATTACGGTGAAAAATGATGAAATGTTTATCAAAGCATTTTTATCATTGAAATTAGACTACGAGTGTTATGACAAATGCATGAGAGTGACATTACATGCGGAGGAGTTATGATATTACGACATCAGCACTTCAAGTTCGTCGAAATAAATGCTATATTGTTTGACCTTTTCAAAGTTGACAGCTGCACAAAAATGTCGCATAAATCTTTTATTTCTTCATTAAAGACGAGTTGACAAAAATACTTCGATATTATCAATTAATAACGAATAAAAACAGTATTCTGTCGACACATATTAAAAATTGAAAGATTAATCCTCCGGGTGCATATTTCTTAATTACACCCCCCCCCCCCCCCTATCAATTTAATCTTAAACTTGAAGTTGCGAATGTCTGACGTAAATAAACAAAAAAATAATCACTAAAAAAAGGATATCTCTTATTCGGTATATCGTAAAAAAGAGAGATGTTGTTTTTCATGAAATATGATATGTCAAAAATTCATGAGGATCGGTATGATCGGAATGTTGCAACATTAAACATGTAATTTTGAGACACGAAATTAAACATGCATACAGAAATATGAGATGCACATTGATATTTCAGAACCTGCTGTCCGAGATAAGCATTTGATAAAGACTTTCGTAGACTTTCTTTTTAGAGACTTAAAAAAAACACACATTTTACATTACTTTATATATAGATATTTTTAACAAAACTTCGAAACAATCGCGATTTGTATATAAATATATAATTACAAAAATAAAATCTTCGTATTTCAATTTTAGAGAAAGTAATATATAGGTTGTAATTTAAACAAGTGCAAAAAATTTTAAATAATTCTTTGTCGAAAATTAAGAGTTTTTTAATATAAACATATACTTTTATATCCCTCCCTGGAGTTAGACTTTTCTAAAGAAGATTAAAATTAAGTTTTATTTTTTTTCTCGAATTTCAGACAAATAAAAAATATGAAACTTGGTGGATGTTTTCTGTTTCATTTTTTTAATTTGCCTGAAATTTGAGAAAAAAAAATTAATTTTTACCTCCCTCTTTAGAAAAGTAATTCCTTAGAGAGGAATATAAGAATATACGTTCACTGAAAGAAATCCTATCGATTTAAAATAAATATGTATTTAAATAGTGCCACTAACACCATTAATACTGTTTGAAATTAATATTTATCTGTTTTGGAAAAGGATTTCTTATATCAAATAAGTATTTTTTAAGGGCAAATCAATATTAGTTTCAAATAAATGGTGTTAATAGCACTATTAAAATAAGTATTTATTTGAAATGAGCTTTTTTCAGTATTTATACATATAAAAATACCCCTTAATTTTCGACAAAGAATCATCAACTCTTAAAATTTTTTGCATTTATTTCGACACATCCTGTATAAAACCTTATTTGCAATTGTTATTTGTAATAAGCAACAAAATATCAAGAGTTTTTAATAATTATTTGGAATGTCTCGATTAAGAAAAAAACCAGAATGTTTAGTGCTATAATTTTGTGTCAATATAAATCTAATTGTTGAAAAAATTTTTTTATGAAATTACTTGGAATATCTCGAGTGAGTAAAAACCAGAATCTTTAACGCTATAATTTTATATGTATAACAATATAAATCTAATTGTTGAAAAAAATATTTTTCATTAAATTATTTGGAATATCTCGAGTGAGTAAAAACTAGAATTAGTGTTAATTTAATGTATCGATATAATTGTTGAAAAATATTCGCTGTAACTAGTCGACTTATACATTCGTCCTAATAAACACAACTAGCATTACGGTTTCAGTATTACAAGAATATTTCGCAGTAGTAGCGAAGACGCGACAATGGTGTCACGGGTAAAGAGTCACAGACATCGTAATGCCAGACTTTCTACTTCTACAGACGATGACCAAGACCGAAAGACGGGACGTGCTTCGCATAGAACTACGCCGCGAATCTATCCAAATTCGCTCCTTCGAGTGCTACTTTGCGCATAAATGCACATTTGATTAGTCTCTTCGTTCAAATCCTATTCAGAGTTTCTAATTTCTTTTAAACAATCCCAATTTTATTCATGATCAGTGAATTAAAAAAGAAAAGTGCAGCTTCGAAATACATAATGAATATATTTATTTTAATAAATTACTAATTAATTAATATACTTTTAATATATAGTTTTTAATTAATATTTTTACCTAATATTTTTATTCAACATTATTTTATTATTTTTTTTACTCGTTCTTATGTAACAAATATATTTTTAAAAATGCTAATATGATAGTTTTCCAATTAGTAAGTGTATAATTCGAGAAATAAAAATATCTATCTGTTAAACAAGAATTTGTTTCAAATTAGCTGAATCATTGGAATAAATATAATAATGCAAAAAAAGTATAAAAATAATCTCATGTAAAAGTAATAAAATTTTTTGATTATAATATCTCTAGTAATCATCTTGTACTCTCTTGTACATGTTACTTTTTGCGTATATATCAAAGTCGAAAATTCTGTAATCGCACAATATTAATTGGATTTAAAGAAAATCGATAAAAATTTAATAATATATTACACAATTGCGTAGTTACAGCTTGTTTGTACCATAAAAAATTATGATAATTTTTTTATGTTTATTGTTTAAAAATATTTAATGTATTTTAAATGGAACGTCTCTTGTAAAATAAGAATCCAATCTATTTGTTAACTTGTAACAAAAGAGGAAATTGTAAAAAAAAAAAATACTATTGTTCACTATTGCAAATATAATACTTAAAGATAAGTACAAAAATATAGATTTTAGCAACGTGACTCATATATATGTATATATGTATGTATAGATACTATCACGCTATGAAAAGAGAAACTAGTTATATTTCAAGTTTATTCTGCTTTAATATTATCTTTCGTAAAAAAAAATTTTTTTTTAATGTACTAATTTCGTATACAAACTCGACGTTAATTAAATCAAAATTATTAATTAAATACTATATTTATAATTTTAATAATATTTCATTTATCGGTTAGTTTTTGAAATCCTACGTTAAATTTATCATAAAAAAATGCTTGAAAACTCTGTTAGGTGTAACTCTGAACCATAGATATCTACATGCGATGCGTTCAACCCGGAAATGCTATAAACCGGAACCTGGAGAAGGCATTAATGACACCGAGTGTAATTACAAAGTTACGTAGGTATGTATTTAACGTTTCTAAACGTGTGTATTCACACAAACTACTGCATACCTTTATCATTGCATTTTGCAATATCAGTATATTGGCTTGTACAAATTACAAAGTCAATTATCCAAAAAAAGATGACGAACATAGATAAATAATATAAATTTTTTCTTCTTACAATAAGAAACCTTAATTTTTTTAATAAGAGGTTTCTAATGTTTTAATGATTTAATAAGAGATTTTTAATTTTTGTAATCTATTGATCTGTCTATTATATGTTAATATTTTTTTATCAATTTTATTTCCTCGAAAATTTCGATTATTGCGCGACATAAACATTCCATTGATTGTAAATTATAAGGAAGGAGACAAAAATGATATATCTCGAGAGAAGCATTGCGTAAAACGAGAGCACATTCTTGAACGAGAAAGTATATATAATGTCATAGGAAAAATATAAAAATAATATTCGTACAATTCATGAAAAAATGGAGCGCATCCTAAATGACAGAAGAGTCGCGCTTCGCTGATTGTCGAACGACAAAGTGACTTATTATATATATATATATATATATATATATATATATATATATATATATATATATATATATATATAGATTATCCATGAAAGTCTCGATAAACCCACCATACATGGTCGGACATTATGTTGCAACGATCAAACAAGATTTCATTAGCTCACTCGTCCATATTGCACAAAAGTTGACCAATCGTTCGCGCGGTCAATCGTACAAAGGAATAAAAATTATATTACATTCGAGGCTAAAATCTATCTACTATTGCGACATTCCGCAAATATATTTTCAGCGCAAATACATACGTATGAATTTCCCGCTTTTGTCAATTTAAGTGCGGCAAGACGACGTTATAGAAATCAAACATACGAAAGATATATATATACATATATGTGTGTGTAATGTGTACACACGTGAATTAAAGCGAGGAATGAAATTAGGGAAGCAAAGAAATGTCATACCTGGCAGGATCGACGTTCGACATATCCCCGTAATTCATTTTTCTCTCGTGAATGTTGTCCTCTTGATCGATGCGAGTGCACGCGCACCTGTATAGCTGCGCTCTCACCGCGAGAGAGTAGAGAAGGAAAGAAAAACGCCGGACGTGGGAAGAGAGAGACAGCAGATATATCGCGGAGAGACGAGAGATGAGACTAGATCGCGAGGCTCGCCGCTCCTTTATATCTTCGCGCGAGAGACGCGCGCCGCGGAATGCGATAGACGATGGCTCGAATCGACGATTACGACGAAATTAAGACGAGCAGGTCGAGAGCGGGGTGGAGCACGCTTTTACGGAGCATCGCGGAGCGGAAACTGGCCGAGATCTCTCTGTCTCGCTCTCTCGCGCGCGCACCCCTTATTTATTCCCCTTCTTCTTCGCGAACTTCGACCGTCACAAATTCTTATCGGCCGCCACGTGTGTCAATAATCAGCGCGGGCGGGACGGCACGATAAACGACGACGCACAGAGAGGAAACGCACTCGCTCGCGCCGGGCGGAGAAGATGTATCACGCGAGTGGACGGACGACAGCACGAGGAGACGAGCGGCGCGGCACACCGCGCTACACCAGCTGGTCGCGTCTCACTCTCGCCATCCCACCATCGCGCCCGCGTCGGACCACAATCCGCGAACGTGATTGGCTGACGCGGACCACGCGAGGCTCCTCGCTGCCTCTCTGTCGATTCGGCGCGCGAGACGCGGCTCCACTCTCTCTCTCTCTCTCTGTCTCTTCCTATTCCGTGACAGTTTGATTCATCTCGCGTATGTGCGCACGCACACATTATTATCGCGAGAGATCACACCATCGGAAAATAGATTCGCGCTGCACCCGGCGAGAGATGATATATTACATATGTATGTATAATTGAGATATCAAGAGACAAAAATCGAACCAGATGATTCATATGTATGTATGTATGTATGTATGGGTGAAGATATCGGAATAAAATTTTCTCTTTTTATCTTGAGATCAAAGTCTTTAATAATTGAGTTGAAATCAAAATATACTTGATTGATAGTATATAAATATTTTTGTTTCAAAGTTCATTATCGTCGGGATTATGTACTCGGTGTGTAAATGTCATTTTTCTTATCCCCGAAAATTTTTATAAGATATATATATATATATATATATATGCATTTTCGCGGAGAAGAATATTTTATTGTATTAGACATCTGTATATTAGAATTTCTGTTGTGAAAAGAGATTCTTACCTAATAAAGATCGTTCACATGTTGATATTTTCTATCTTTAGATATATATATATATATATATATATATATATATAAAATTCGAAAATCTAATAGATAATCTAATCAGAATATTTATTTACACTTTGAAAGACTTCCCTGACCTTCACAGTTTCACTGACTATTTTACAAATAAATAAATCGTTAAATCACGTTAAATTTAAAAATGTCGACATCTATGAAAGAAAATGCGAAACAATATAACCTTTTTGAAAGATAAGGTAGGATAAGAGATAAAAACAACAGGTTCCTACATTATTGACAAAGGGTAAAGTAATGTCAGATTCTACGTCACAATTTCAACGGAAGTAATGCAGTTGTTTCAAATGTTGAAGAACAAGTGTTATATGTGAACGAAAAAATATCGCAAGTATATAATGGTAATTATAATTCTCTTAAATAATAACAAAAGTAGTGGTATTAATTAAAACTTTATACAAGAGTTTTATAAAAGAATCAAATCTTATTATACAATAAAATGGTCAAATATCATTAATAGGACAATGATATGTTATTTTTAACGGCGGATCAACTAACAATATATTTATATAAGTCATATTATTAAAACTCTCCAGAGTTAAAATTTATACTACATGTGTTATTTCAAGATATAATACTATGAATTTTATAATTTTATATAATTTAAGAAAAAAGATAATATATATTTATCTTCTTCAATGATATTCAGATAAAGGTTAAAATAATACTCCAATATAAATAAAATGATATTGAATAACATTTATAGATTATAAAATGGCAATCTAGACTCTAGACTATTGAAAATATTATATGGTCATGAAAATACATGCTGCGATAGAAGCTTCATATAATATTATCAATTTACAATGCTTTGTTTAAATATTGTAACTTATATATATATGTACATATATAATTTATTTATATATATATTAATATTTCAATATATACAATTTATATTTTTAATAGGAACTCTGACTCAGCGATTCAATTCTCTTTGAATTTCATCTAATGTTTTGCCCTTAGTTTCTGGGACCAAGAAGTAAACAAATATAACGCCGATGGCGCAGAATAAAGAGAATATCCAGAAAGTACCATAAGATTCTATAGCTGCAGTCATATTGGTATAAAACTTGGTCACTATGAAAGCTACAAGCCAGTTGAATAAACAGGCGCTGCTTCCAGCAATTCCCTTCACTTCTGGAGCGAAGATCTCTGGCATCATCAGCCATGGAATTGGGCCAAAGCCTATGGAGAACATTACAAGAAAAACGCATAGTGGAATGATTGCGAACCACTTGAGATCATCAAAGGCGGTAGTATAAGTGATACAATAAAAGTAAACACCAAGGATCAGAGTCGTTAGGAACATAACTGCGATTGAAGCTAATAGCAGTATTCTTCTGCCTAATTTATCGATGATTAGTGTACCTAAGAAGACCGATATTACTTGCACCGCTCCCACAATGATGGATGCCTCACCTGGTGGTAGAGTGCTTCCAGCTTTACTGAAAATATCTCCAGAATAAAAAATGATGGCATTCACGCCACTCATTTGTTGGAATAGCATCAAGCCGTAAGCGATTGCGAAGCCTTTTTTGGCAGCTCGTGATTTAATTGTGACAGAGAACGATGCACCACTCCTATTGGCCTCTTCAAGTGCTTCGCGTTGCGCCTGCAATTCAGACTCACAGTCATACTGAGCGCCACGAAGTCTGACCAAGCTTTTCCTGGCAGCTTCCTCGTTGCCTTTCTTCAAGTAGTATACTGGACTCTCTGGCATGAAGAAGAATACCGCGAAGAAGACCAGCGGTACAATTCCCGAAATAATTGACAGTGTTATCATATTCAGAGCGGTCCCGAGAGCGTATGAAAGAAGAATACCTACAGTAAGCATCAACTGAAAGTAAGAGCCAAGCGCACCACGGATCTCGCTCTCGGCTATCTCCGACGTGTATAGAGGAGCAGCCACGCAGAAGGCCCCACTACTGAGACCTGTGATGAATCTACCGAAGTAGAACATGAGCACTGAATTTGAGAAGATGATAAGTAGCCAACCGACAGTGAAAGGGATCACCATGAGTAACATGGCAGTCTTTCTGCCAATTAGATCTGCCAATATACCAATGGGAATGCACATTGCACCTGCTCCAAGAGTGGCGAGCGATCCTATCCAGGAGAATTCTTCATCAGTAATAGGTATCTTATAGTTATTCGCCAGATTTACACCCTCTTCACCAGCAGACGATGTCCAGCTCAGTACCATACCAGCTGCAACAGCACCAAGGGTTGCTGCTATTCCTGCCATGTACTGTGGTAATTTCTTAGCTTTTTGGCCATTAGTGGAGACCAAAGTTTGTTGTGAGATACCAATCTTTTCGGCCATGCTGGCTTGGCCACTTCCTGGTAGAAGTGGTGTGCTTTCGTCGGTCTGGAAAAAATATTAATAATTTTTTAAAATACATTTAATTATACTTAATCAATGAATCATATAATACGCTATATATCTGCTATAACTTTACTTTTCAATAGAATGTGCATAAATTTCTTTAACAATTTTGAACATAAGACAGTTTTAGAGAACATGTTTTTCTCATAAATTTTGAATGCAAAATTTCCATTTTCAAACCATATTAACAATGCAGAGATATTCCATAAATAATGTAATTTGTACTTGAAAACGACAATTCTTTATTTAAAAACTTTAAAATGCTCAAAACTATCTTATTTATATATGAAAACTTTCTTTTTTTTTTTTTACACTTGTAACTATCAATTATCAAAACTATTATATATATTTTTACAATGATTATTTTTATCTTTTCATTTATGATTTGGAATTAAAACGGTAATAACAAATAATGATAAAACTGTAATAATGAATGATATGAAAATATATAGAATTGTATTCTAAAGATTTATTATGATATTTTCAGGAATTTCATATTGGGAACAGCAGAGATATATTTATTAGCTGAACAAAGCGGATTGAGAGATGATGACATTAAGGGAATATATCATAATGAAGGATTACATACACATGTTGGTACCGTATTTTCGACATCCCATGTATAATTCGTCGCCATTTTACAATAAGAAGAGCTTTGTAATTTTATTCTACTACAAAAAATTGTCAAGGTAAATGCAGCACAGTTCACATTTGATATATCGTGATATCGTATGACCCATCTGTCAATCAACACATGCACATGTCTATTGTTTTTTTGTTGTCTAAACAGCTGTGGCATCGAAAACGAAATACAATATAGAAATACAACACGCTATGAGAAAATATTTGCTTCTGACATCTACTGGTCAAAGCTAAAAATTAATTTTTTACTACATAAAAGTACCAAACTTTCTAGCAACAAATAAATCCAAGATTAGTTTACTGAATAGAAAAATGTCAAAAATTCTCTTTTTGATAATCAATTATATAACATTATATCTACACTATATATGTGCTTTCTTACTGAAAAGTTTTTTGGAATACTGTAAAATTTCTTGTTCTATTTTTACATTTTTCAATTTCCTGAAAAGTTTCGCTTTCTATCTATGTTAAAAGCAAAAAATTAGAGAACGATAATGTATAATGTGTAAGCATAATAATTGCATAAATGCATTTTATTTATTTAAAGATACATTTACTTAAAACGTGAATCATTGATAACATTTTTGCCATTTTGCATTTATTATTAAAAATTAATAAATTTTTAGTTTTTGTTTATTTTTAATTTAAGTATAGTACTTGTTCAGTTGAATATTATACTTGGAGCATTTTTAATTTGTGCACGTTATTTCCATGTCTTGATTAACTTATGCTAAATACTGTACGTCTAACGTTCAACATATATCACATATATTCTTGTACGACGTAATAAGTTAAATTATGTGATTGCATATGTTAACTTATGTATGCAATTATAAATTAGCATTATCATTGATAAATTTGAAATTTACTTATTTACACTTATTTATAATGACATAAACTCTTAAATATTTTAATTCTTGCACAGGAAAACCTACATGATTATGACAAAAGATACTGGTATAATAACAATTTTTCGACAATATATATTAAAGAATTCTTGTTATACCAGTAATTTTTTTATATTTTTATAGTTTTTTTTCGTATATTGCTTTCACAAAAATAAAAAAGTTTAATTATTTAATGCTACAATTTCGAATCTTTTATGTAAGCGATTTTTAATATATATTAATTGTGTATATAATATATATTATATATAAATTCTATATATTTTATAAATTTTTAATATTTTCTCCTTATAAAAAATATATTTTATGTAACTATATACACATATAAGAGAGATTTAAGATAATATATCAATACTCGTATTCTTTTAATTCAAGAACATATACAATACACGTACGTCATATATATACATTATAACATAATCATATCGTGATCTACTTTGAGAGATACGTAGCTATCTTAGTTTTGTATCAAAAATTATCGCGATGTACGCGCGTGTATCACACTGTTATTATCTCATGAAATTCATATATGATTTTATATCATTGCGATTATTGTTAGACAACACATTTGAAACATTCCAATCTTGTTTTTTACGTGTTTAAATTATATGATTTAATAAACACTAGATTACTAGATAATATATATAGATATAAATTATGATACCAAGTCATTTTTGTACATTTTTATAAATGGATGTACATGTAGCACATTGTTAACATTTTATTATGTATTATTTAGACAAAAAGATCATTACAAATATGGATTTATATTTTATAGATTTATTTATTACGAACTTATTTGCCGTTTCTCAGGTATATAATCACGTAAAAATTAAAGGAATGCAATTACAGTAACATTTATTGCATACATAAGATTATATATGTGATATATAACTTACTGAGAAAAGATTTCCCTATACAAAGGAATACATTGTTAAAAATAACATTGTTAAACACGATTGTATCACGTGTGATATTTAATAGAAAAAAATTGTTTAGATAAGAATTAAAATATATAACAAATAATAGGGATACTATAAAATACGCAAGGGTATGCGTAAAAAAATCGCAAATTCTTTATCGTTCTTATGTATAGATTGAAATTTTACATAAGTTGAAACTTTATAATTTAAAAATATAAAATATACACTTTTTATTCTTTTCATATCTTACATAAGAGAACTAAATAATTCTGAAAGTTTACTTTTTTACAACAAATGTGTAAATTTAATTGTTTATTAAATTAATAGGTTTTTTCGTATTTACCAATTATCATTATAAACGTGTGCTATGTCAATATTTCCTCACAATACTATGCTTTTAAATTTATCACATAAGACATAAAGACATAAAGATACGAAAATGATGAGGATATTTGCTTCTTTCGATTTTGTATTTATTCTTATTATCTAATATCTGTGGAAACTAGGTAAATATTTTTATAAAAGTTGACTAAGAAAATCTTTCCCTATTATTTTAGCTTGTCTTTGAGATGCATTTCAATATAGGAAAATTCAATATATAAAAACATTTTATAATAAAATTATAAATATTTATAATATATTTGTGAAAATATAAATATTTATTATGATATTAATATTGCAACGTGTTAAATATAAACAATAATATATCATTATTACATAATACTATCGCGTGATATATCATAGTGATATCAATAGGATATAGGCAATATGACATAACGTCGAAAGAGTGCCAAGTTTAAAATGTCAATGAGAGATTAAACATGAATCCATAAAGTATTAACAATCTTTATTGGCACTATTTCTAACTTAACCGATACAATAAAGTTTTATGAATTGATTGTAAAAGAAAACGCGGATTATATACGTGAAATGTATACTTTTTTTATATATATTTATTATATTTTAACGAGCTTCTGTGATACAAAAAATTTGTGTTTTTATTTTTAAATTATGGTAGCCAATTTTTCGACTTTTGAACCGTTGTGTCATAATAGATAACGCACTGCATCACTTCAAAAAGTTTAAGCAAAACAGGATGCATGATAATTGAGACTTATTATATATATATATATATAACACATACATACACACACATACATACACCCACACATATATATCCATACAAATTTCGATTATCAAGCATTCTGTTTGCTTAATTTTATTTATATATATGCATATATATATATAATATATAAATTCTTTTATATTAATTTGAAATGATAAATTTCGAGAGATTGACATCTCAATATGATAAAAAAATTAGATTTCCGGGAGAAATTTTTTACTTATAACTTAATTTGCCTACAGTTATATGCAAATTTTTATAAAGTCTATTAAAATCCGTTAAAATATGGTCATATGTATTCGTTATCTTGTCTTATTAAATGCATAAGAATGCATAATATGAAAAAGAAGTAAATCATCCGTATATCTGTTATTATTTTTTTAACAAATATTTTTAAAATGTGTGTTGCTATGCGGAAATATATGTATAAGTCTATATCACGGTATTAATGCGCGTTTTAATTATAAACATTTGAATATAATTGAAATATATATTAATATATATATTTTTTTTCAAAAATTAGTTATGTTAATAATTATATGCATATAAATACAATATAAATGTGACAGAAAATTATTCTAAATTAATTAAATACAGAATACTTAAATATAATTAAATAAATAATAAATTTAATATATAATAGAATTTAATTAAATATATAATAGAAGCAACAGTAAAAAAAACAGGAATCAGAAAAATTAAAACGCGTTCAACAGAAATAATTTCTACCTAATATGCGCAGCAAATTTATATTATTTGGTTATCATTTCGTAAACCTGGCATTCTTTTTGCATGAAATAATATTGTTCTTAATTATATCTTATTGATAAAATATTATTAATTAGCAAGCAATCATTATAAAAGCTTATTAAAAGTAATTACGAAAAAAACACTTTCGCCCGTGTTTGAACAACATCCGTATTTCAACGTTAAAACTCATCGTGCAAAAATGATTTATGTAATGATACGCGGTTTCTTATGTAAGTAACAACACATGTGTGAGGTCCCATCCATAATTTTCGTTTTGTTGTGTTTTTTCCGTCTGTCGAAACGACCAACGAAGCTTATGTTACGCGAAAAATTGCAGAATCGCATGTTAAAATCAGGCCTGGCGAAATCGCGAGTAATTAAACGAACGTAACAATTAGACCAGTGGTTTGCGAATTTTTCCCTTATCTCACGTATTTCACGACTGCGATAGCGTACAAATCGAAAACACTCGCTACGAGTTTGAAAACTTATTGTTCATGTAATTATTAATCGTCGAATTACAAAATTCTGAATTTTATTAGGTCACTATTATATTATCAAGAGACATTAACCATCGACTGTCATCATCGTTCCATTTTCTCTGCCTTATTATATATCCCATTTAATTGAACCAAAGATATGAGAAAATAATACTATAAATAAATGTCTAAATTAGAGTCTTAAGCATAAATATATTCAATATCTCTAATGTGACATGTCGTTTTTAATGAGATAAGGTTCACGAACAATGCATAAAAAAGACATTAACGCAAGCACTTTGCGTTAAGGTTGCTGAGTAGAAAGATGTGTAAAAATAAAAAAATATATGAGTTTGCATATAGATAATGTAATAAGGCTAATCTTAAAGAGTAACACGAGATGGGAATGTGTTAACCTCGCTCCGACATGTGTACATTTTTGTAAAAATGCGTGAAATTTTATGGTGTGACTATATATTTTCTATTACTTTTAATTATTATTACAGGCTATTTGTGACAAGTGCTTACAAAACTTTTTTACGTGCAATGTCATTTATATATTATATACTTTTCTTTCTTTCTTTCTTTTTTCGAAAATCCACAATTATTTTTATTTTTTATATTTATTCTATTATTTTTAAACTCGAAAGTGATCTGATAAAGCATGCGCATACACACACATATGTACACACATCGATCATGATTAAATTTGCAACGTTTCAAGTTTGCAAAATAAAATTTAACGTTAATTAAGATATCGATAATGCCTAACGAATGTGAGTCATAAAAAATTATGAGATATGTTTCCTTTCCACACTTGCATATTATACACTTTCCATACATTTATAGCAAAAATAAATATGTGGATTTGAAAAAAATAAGGCAACGGAAATAAAAAAAAATACAAAAAAAAAGAACAAACTGACCTTTATGAACGAGAATTCTTTATGCTAATTGATTACTGTTATCGCTCGACTTTAACATTAATTTGACTATTAAATTGGAACTGATTACACACCGAGATCTTTCTCCACAGAACAAGACTTCTTCGTCGTCGTCGTCGTTGCTGCGTGCAGGAAACAGCCTTCCAGATGAGACCGAGTCTTGAACCCTTACACTGGTTACCGACGACGACGATGATGTGCACTGTGCACGATGGCGCACGATGGAAGTGTATGTTCGCCGGAGGCCCACAACGTTAATCATCGCCCCGGCAAGAATTCAGTTCTTATCAGCCGCATGCAATATGTCGAAACGCGAAGATATGTATGTACGTATATCTTGATGTAATCAACGTGGCTGTTTGTTGATGTCGCGCAAATGGGTCTGTCCGGTTTGCGAAATAATTTTTCTACACCTTCGGGACGATCAATTCGGATGATCCCCAGCAAACACAGTATATAAATGTTATATACTCAAGCATGTTACATGTAACGTATATGTTAGTTGTAATTTTCCACTCATAGATGTAACATTTTTAATATAACATATATTACATTGTAGTTATATTGTCATTATATCCCAAGATAGCACTGACTTATTAATACATCAATGTGCTATTGGTATATAATTACAATATAACTACAATGTAATATATGTTATATTAAACTGTTACATCTATGAGTGGAAAATTACAACTAACATGGATGTTACATGTAACGTACACGTTATATTACCTGTTATATTCCGTTTTATTATAGCAATGTAAAAATTATATATCGGTGTTTGCTGGGATAATTGATGTTTTCGCGGAACGGAAATTTTTTCTACGCTTCTCATGTGTGATAATTGCATTTAATGGCGCGAAATTATCGCATGCCGAATAGATGCAACTAAATAAGTATTATTGAAAATACTGAAGATTTATCATTCTATACATTCTATGTTCAGATTGCCTTTATTTCGTAAAACGAAACGTAAATATAAAAATAAACACTTTGCATACTGTTTCGAGTAATCTTCAGGAAAAGTACATCGAGTTCTTAGAGTCCCCTTGTAGAAATTTATCACTAGTAACGCCAATTAATCACTTATTTCGAGTACTTAAAATACTGATATACAGCAATTTAAGTACTCGAAATAAGTGATAAATTGGCGTTACTAGTGATAAATTTCTATAAGGGTCATATACTTTTCAGATTTAGAATCATAATTTGCATTCGAACAGCATACCCTAAAGTTCAAATGCTGCATGTATAGCCGATTATAATCTCTCTACAATTTTACATCTGTATTAGTAGCACTGAAAACTGCATAGAACAAAGTTCAAAATTGATAAAATAATCAATTATTTTTCTTTTTTATTTTATTTTATCGTATGAGCTATTTCTTTTGCTTTATTAGGATTTTTGCGGGAAATAAGCCGCGACACTGAAAGTGTGATATACATGTCCAAACCACGTGCTTTGCGGTATTGCCAGATATTCAACCGCAAAAAAGAAACGCTTAAGTATATATATGAAAATAAAAAGAACTTTGAACACAATATAAAACCTATAGTTAGACAAGAAAGTATGAAAACATATCTATATTTTTCTTATAAAACATTTGCAATTTTTAATTAACACATTTGTGAAAATTAGAGAGATTTCTTATTCTATCTACCATATAAATTCATATTGGGAATCTGAATCTATAAAAATTTTGCTATCTTTCTACTAATGTAATTTTCTTGTGGATATATGTAACTCTGATTTATTTGCCACTTTTAGATAGTGTGATATGATATAGTGATATGATATGTTTCTAGAATGCTTTTTGATTAGTATTTTTTTCTTTATATCGCTATTCATAGTATTTGTATATCGTCCTCAATGACTTTGCGTGATATAATAACTGATAAATAACTGATAGCTTTTACCTACTGTTCCCCTATCTTACTTTTGAGAGGTCTATAGACCCAAGTAAATATCGATTTATTACTGAAATGACGAACAAAATTAGACAAACATATTCAAAATTTGCAAGCATATTTGGGACTTTATTTAAATGATAGATAAATATATTTTATCAATAATTTTGAATTTAATGTGTTATATATGCGTCTCTGTCCCTTTTAGTCTTAGTTTTTATTTGATTGTTTTTATAGATTCTTTTTTTTTTTTTTTAAATCATGAGTAATTTGATATGTCATAATTTAGATTGATAATTTAATTATCATAAATTATTGAATTTTTTTCATTAGAGACAATTCTGTAGAGTAAAAAGAAAATAAGATTAACCAATTATGAACAGTTTTTAAAATGTCTAGATATACTTATAGTTGCAATATAATATTTATTATTAGTAATATAAGAAAATGGTATTTATTTAATAACATATTTATATTATTTTCTTATATAACTACGAAAATATAATATCTGAATTGCTATGTTCTGCATATTTAAATTTGAATAGGATGTTTATAAAAACATTCATATAGTTTTAAATTTGCCAAATCACCCTAGAAAATTTTTGTCCGGTTACCAACCTGTGTTTATTATGAACTAGAGAATTGACGAATCAGAAAAGAGGAGCGAAAATTTCTTTGTCCTTATTGGTCAATTGAATGCTATTGTATCCTACGAGTAGGCTTTTCGAACGCATTTAACCTGTCATATTGGTGGGAGGTATATTCAACCGCTTCATCTGACAGAAAACAGAAATTTAAGGGTCGACAGGCGACATGGTGGAGACGCCTATCGGCCGGCCGGGAATTACGGATTCTTATTTTCCAGATATTAGCGAAAATATTGAATGAATCTTATTAAATTTAGGATATTCTTAATCAGTAAGCTCATTTGTAGTCCTCTAAAGAGCTATTTTATGAAAAAAAGATAAAAATAAAAATTTTTAATAAACTTGGGGGAATGCACAGCTAGGAACGGGTAAGGTTGGGTTAGCCGCGAGTCCGTATTTTATTTATTATAAATTTTTAAGAGCGAAAATGTAAAATCCGGCCTTTTAGAGGACTGCTTTATTATATAAAGAATATATTAAAAAAAAATTCACGAAGTTATGTCACTTATTTTATGAAATATCTGGACGATAAGATTCTCACTAGATTCATAAGGAGCAGGGGAAATTTCTGTGGTAACATGCTGACTGCTTGACAAGGAGAGAGCATCATTCCATCTTTGTCTCTCTTACATCGCATATGTAGTAGCGTCCATGTAGGTACAAAAACTAATACGTGAGCACACGGATGCAAATATTGAGAGATAATGTCAGCAAAAAGGCTATCATATTATTTTTATTTTTTTGTATATGTATGCATATGTAAATAAAGAACAAAAATAAAAACTATTTTAAGATGACATTTTATAATTAATTTTCTATATGTATTTGCATTTTATTAATATGTACGTATTACATTTTTGATATGTTTTTAATTTATAATTTATATAAACATAAGTATGAAATAAAAATTGAAATAGTTCTGAAAATAAGTATATTAATGATAAAATTATTCAAAACAATAAAAAAATTAAATTTAATATTTTTTAGTGTTTGTACCTACATGGACGCTACTACATATGCGATGTAAGAGAGACAAAGATGGAATGATGCTCTCTCCTTGTCAAGCAGTATTAAAAGCCATATTAAAAGCTCTAGCTTCATTCAATTAATAATCCAATATAATAATCAACAATTATTTTTATATAATATATAGTATTTTTAAATATTTAAAAATATTTTTTTTAAGATTAATTGAGGAAAAGAATATTTTAAATATAAAAAATATTTTAAATATTCTTTTTCAATTAATTTTTAAAACAAATTTTAAAAATATTTTTATATATTCAAATACTTATTATATTATATAAAAATTATTGTGAATTATACTCATTGGAGTAATAATTATTGATTGAAGCTTGTTATGGCACAAACTGAACATCTTGTACATTGTCTGTATAATATTTTACTTATTTATAAAATGTTTTTTATAAATAAATGAAATATTATATATATATAATATATAAGATTATAATATATAAGATTATTGATGTTACATTGTATAACTCTCATTTCTTTCTCTCTGCTACATAAGTACTTATGACGTGAAAGAACTTACGAGTAACGTATGATGGCTCAATGCAAGAATATTTAATCACGTAAAAAACTTGAGTTCAAATATATCAATATCAATTTTTTATAATATATTGGAATATAGAAAATCATAGAAATATATTTTTTATATAGGCGATAAACTTAAAAATTTGATATTGAAAATATTTTAATCATTTTACAACTACACATACTATAAATATATAAATGCAAAATAATTCCGTAAATAAATTTCAAGTAATAAATCAATTGCACACATGCACACAGCTGGTATGTAGATTTTTATTAAATTTATTTTTTGAATTATTTTACACTTATATATAGTGTATGTAGTAAAAATATTTTTAATATATTAAAAAATTTTTAAATCGCCGAAATATATTTTTTTATCATTTTTCTATATTCTAATATATATATATATATATATATATATATATATATATATTATAAAAAAATTGATATTGATATATTTGAACTCTAATTTATATACTGGATGATATACTGAACATCCTTGCATTGATTATACATTACTCAACGTTCTTTCACGTTATAAGTATTTGGAGCAAATTATACAATAGCATCAATAATAAAAAGAAATCAAGAATATAATCAACATATCCCTTATATAATATATATATATATATATATATATATATGTTATATATATACGTTATGCACATATGTGCATAACCATATATACAATTTCCATAAAGTGGGTGCTTATTAGCCTTGTTACGCTACTGCCTTCTGCTACGGAAGGCCAGAAAGCATTTTCAGGCGGCATCTCGCGTATACCGGCACGGTAGAGGAACAAGGAGAACACGTGATTATCGGTCCTTGTCTCTCTACGGTGCGTCCGCGTGAGCAATGCAATGGTGTATGTACGTGTACAGACATGCACCACTCATAAAACCCGAGAATTGGTTTCTCGGCGTTGGCAACACTGAAATCGGAGTTTCGCGTTGTCACCGCGCGAGGTCTCCAACATCAATTCGGAGTTTGGCCGCCCGACCTGTCGACCCTTAAATCTGAAACTGCTTGTGTAAAGTGTATGTGTCATGTGAAAAATTATTAATACAGCAACAGGGAAATAATTTCCTCAAACTAATGTGTTTTGTTTCTTGGATGCTAATAATTTGGAAGTATTTGATAGACCAATAACATAATATACATGTGACATCACACAATAAATATAACCTTGATGTTTGTGATATATAAAAAAGTTTTGTGTTTATATACTATATATATTTTTGTGATGACATATTTCCAACCTACTTTGGATTAGTTCCCATTATTTAAGTACAAAGTACATCATTTTGTGTTATTTATTCAAATAACCTAACAATATGGAGAATCACAATAATAAGATTAATCTAGAAGAAATAGTTGATAGACAACACAAGAAATTACATGAACTCAATATGGCTACAGTATTGATAAAAAGTATATTATTGCATTATTTATTATATTACTTATTTTATATTATACAATTTTAACAATATAATGATTTATGATTGCAAATTATGTTTTATTTCTTATAGGTAAGCACAACATAAAAGATGAACTTCAAGGAATTCATAACAAAGTATTGGAAATGTCATCTGGTGTTGAGAACATGAGAAAAATTTTGGAGAGAATAAAAAAGCAAAATACGTTTTCTAAAGTAAATTTTTTAAAATTGTTTATCTCAAATTTTTTTTTTTATTAAGAACTAAAAAATTAAAACTTTGTAACTTAACTTTATTTGTTGTATACAGGAATTATTGTCATTGCTTGAAACTTTGAATAAAAGAATTTCACACCAGAAAGAGAATGTTCCACCAGAGTTGATACAGGGTTACCAAAATGTTGAACAAGGATGCACAAGTCTTCAAACTCAAATTTCTCCTCCTATACCAGAAAATGCTATAAATTCAACGCAAAAATTGATAGAGCAAAAAATATCTTTTAATAAGCACAATAAGGATATTGAACAAGAAACAATAAAAGATTGTAAAAGAACACTTTTTAATGAACCAGAAGTATGTCCAACAATATCATTTATAAGTGCAGAAGAATTTAATAAAGTGCCTAAATATATGATTGGAAGACACAGTTTGGAAACAATTAATAGTTTGATCCATGATATGAATAATACATTAATCACAAAGTATACAATATTATCATTGGGAAAAGCGGCTGCACAGAAAAGAGGTGAAATTAATCTATATCTACAATATAAAAAACAAGAGTTTGATATTAAAGAAGAAAAAGGTTAGTTCTGAATCTCAACAATTTTTATTGTATTTTATATATATACATATATATATATTTTTTATAACAATGTTGCAAATATAATAAATATGTATGTATTTTTTGTAGAGGTACATAAGTATATAATTTACATTAATATTTTCAGGATACTTATACTTTTTCACAGCTGAAGATTATTATTGGCAAACAAAAACAAAACTTGATAGGACTAAATTAAACTTAATAACTGCATTGCGCCATTGCAAACGTTTACGCGAATGTAGAATAAAAATGAATTGCGATATATTATAATTAAGTAATATAATCTATTGTATATTATATCTTTATTATATGTATATTGTATAAATTATATCTAAAGTGTGCCTTTCAATCATGTATTTAGACACTTTATTAAATTCTTCTACACTTATAAATTTCTAAAATCTCATTAATTTAATTAATGAGATTTTAGATTTTAGAAATTTATACAATATATAATAAAGATGTAATAACGTTTGAATTAATTTAAATAGCATTAATATATATATATATATATATATATATATATATATTGTTAAAATAAAATTTTTTATAAAAGTCTCATTGATTTAAATATAAATTAACATAAATGATTTAAATGCTTGCTATTTTATAACATTACATTGATGTATCATGGTGTGCATAAAAAAAGATGATTTTAAGATATAATTATGTAAATAATAAATAAACGTATTTTTACATTTATATAATAAACAAATAAGTAACTTTTTCTTATACCTATTCTTGAATTATATACATTTCGAGATTAATATCGGAAACAAACTAGAAACGACAAAAAGATGGTCAATTGTTTATAGTTACCTAGCCAATTTGTTTGTCATTGAAGAAGCTGAATCGTGGTAGCACGCGAAAATTCGCTATTTCAAGAATATTGAGTTTGCCATGAAAGAATATTTGAATATTTGTGTTCTTTTCAAGGAAAAGGTAATCTGCTCCATTTTTCTGATTGCGCTATTTGAAGTATTTTTTGCTTATCTATCTACAATGTGTAAAATAAATTTGAACAGTATGTGTATAATTTTATTTTATATATTTTATCACAAATTAAATACTTACAAAAATGATAAAATTAGATTAAATATTTATTGTGTGAATAAGCTGTAGATAAAAATTATTCATTGATTCCAGATTAATTTTTTAGTAATTATTTTAAGATTGCTTTGCATATATGTAATATGTAAAATTGCTTACAATGAACAATTATTGATATTACAGGTATTTATAAAGACTTATGAATGATTTGCAGCTATAAATATGTTCAAAGCAGAATCAATTAGTACATTAAGTGATCATGAAGATGAGATCGATGATTTGGATGGTTCTATTGTATGGTCCCAAGAAGAACCACTTTCTTCTAATGAAATATTAGAATTATCGGTTCAAAATGAGAGAGAAGATAGTTTAGCTGCTTTCTGTCGATTGTGTGCTGGTCAAACTAATAATCCAATTTATATCTACTCTGAACTCGGGGAATCAATGAAATTGGCACATAAAATAAATACATGTCTAAGTGTTAAGGTATATATATAAAATATTATTTATCTATAATAAATTTATATATATAAAATTTTTATATGTATATAAAATTTTCTATCTTTGAAATATATATAAAAATATTTTATTAAAATTTTTATAAAATATGTACTTTATTATATATGATTCGTGAATATGTATTATGTACATTTTTGTAAATATATATTATATTTTATATTGCAGATTAAAAAAACAGATCCATTACCGAAACAGCTTTGTTTGACTTGTATTGAGAAAATAAATTGTTACGACGGGTTTGACACGCAGTGCATTAAAGCGGAAGAAATCCTCTCGACGATGCTAAAGGAAAAACAATTTTTCAATGCTTCCAATCACGAAAATCAAATTTTAGTGGACCGACAGTCTTGTCCTTTATGTATAGAGGGCTACATGGACACATGTGAAAACATGTCTCAACATGTGAAAAATGTAGAATTTGACGAAAATGACATAATTTTAGAAAGCAGCGACGAAGAAAGTATATTTAATAATGTAAACGTCGATATGGAAAGCGGAAATCGTTCTATTATGTTACAATGTCTAGGAAATAGGCAGAAATACTTGAAATGTGGCGCTTGCATGAATCTCTATCATACCAAGGAAACTCTAGACAGTCACAAATGCAAGCCCAGCATGCAGAGCACAACGAAGCCGTACAAGTGTCTTACATGTGATACGACGTTCAGCTTCGAGGAGCGTTTGAACTTTCACGCGCAATTTCACAGAGGCACGAAAGCGTTGTACTGCGAAATCTGCAAAATAACATTCAGTAAAGAATTGAAGCTGTTTTATCACTACAAGAGATACCATTCCAAGGACATTAGCATCTCGTGTCTGCAGTGTGGCAAATTATTCGAGAATCAAGAGGCGCTTCGTGTTCACGTTTGCGTGGATGGTAAGAATCGGCCACATATTTGCGAGGTGTGTAACAAAGGCTTTTCCGACGGCTATACCCTGAAGCGTCACATAGTTACTCATCTGCCTGAGAAACCTTACAAATGCTCGCAATGCTCGAAGAGCTTTACGCAGAAGTCGAGATTAAACAAGCATGTCGCGAGTCATTGCATCGTTATCGAAAACAATCAAACGGTCTGGAAATGCATTCAATGCGGCGAGATATTTATCTCTTGCGACGATGCCGATGCTCATTGCAAGCTACACGAGAATAAGATCACATTGATCGAGGAGCTATCGATATCGAAATTGTATCATTGCGAATTCTGCAATAGTCACTTCACCGAAGTGGACAACCTGAAGACTCATCAGAATAAACACGTCGTCGAGAAATCATATACGTGTAATATCTGCGAAACTATGTACAAATCGTTCGCGGAGGCCGTCTTACATTGGAAGGAACATCAAAGATTATTCAAAGTTCTCGTCGTCTTTCTATGCGACGTCTGTAACAAGGACATGAAGGAGTTATCTCTGTTGTATAAACACAAGCGAAAGAGACACGATTACGTAGCCAGATTGTCCGAGTCCGGCGATGCAAAGTTTGTATGCGAACTTTGCGGAAATATGTTCGACAGCAGCAAGGACATACAGGATCATGGACGGGATCAGTGTTCCAAATTTCCCTGCGATATTTGTGGCAGTTTATTACCTACGGCGAATTCATTGAATGCTCACAAAAGGCGGCACAACGGACTGCGACCTTACGTCTGCAACATATGTGGGAAGAGTTACACTCAGTCTAGTCACATGTGGACTCACAAGAGATTCCATATGGGTGTAAAGCCTTACGCTTGCGAGTATTGTGATCAGCGTTTCACGATAAAGCCGGATTTGGCGGATCATACCAGGAAGAAACATACGAGGGAGAGGCCGTTCAAGTGCGACGTGTGCAACAAGGCTTTTCTCACCGGATCCGTATTTTATCAGCATAGATTGATACACCGCGGTGATCGTAGGTACAAGTGCCATTACTGTGAGAAGGCCTTCACCAGGACGGAGGCTTTAAATAATCACATTAAGATACACACCGGGGAAAAGCCACACGCGTGCGATGTGTGTGGTAGATGCTTCAGACAGAAAGGAGACATGAGGAAACACAGACGCACCCAACATAATTCTATGTAGGATACAAAACTCTTCACATCTAAATGTTTTTGTTTTAATCATTATGCTGTCATTATGCTTGCATTTTCATCATTATGTTATTATGATAATAATAACAAATATGTACATATAGTAATCTATTCATGCAATATGATTGTACTATATTATTACATAAAGAATACAGAACAAATTATTAATTTACCTATTTTATTATAAATTACAAAATATTTTATACAGAAAGGAAAAGATGAGAGAGAGAGAGAGAGAGAGAGAGAGAGAAACAAGATTATAAATAAAATAATAATATATTAACATATTATAAAGCAAAACAATAAAATAACTAAGGAAATGTATAACTTAGCATGTAAGTTATTATGATTTATATAAAACGTGCATTATATATATATAAAAGGTATAAAATATTGTATAATGTCACAAATATTTTCTATTTATTATTTATTTATTATTATATGTATTATTTTATTCTTAATTATTAATTTTAAAAGATTAAAATTAATTAGAAGAGATTAATTAATAATAAATTAAAATAAAATATTAATTTATGTTTTGTATTGTGATTACAGATGTACACACGTAAGGGAAAGAATTCTACGGCGATACGCAATTTTTTCAAAATCGTAAATACGCGCGCAAACGGATGACAGCTGCGCGCGCGCACCCGCTTGCGCATGCGCATGTGCGTCGCAGAACAGGTGATGTGTGCGTTGCATACTTATCTTATGACCGCCGTCATCTAATCGTCGCGCACGGACGATCTGTTGGACGGACCTGACACACTTGGCTGTGATAATCACCGAGCCCGTCGCGCCCGTCGTGATGGTCTACGAGATGACGACGGCGAGGTAGAATCGCGTTCCCGAGATCGCGGAGCTGGATATCCTGGTACGTGAGTTACGAGGAACGTTCATTAGAGATGTTTCGCGCGAGTAGTCGATCGTGACGGATTAAGACGCTTGTTATCGTCGCGTAAACCTTCGACGAGGCCTTCTCCCCGAGAGAGATCCTCCGTCCGATGACTTAGAAGTTTGCTTGAGCGCGACTTAACCTTAAAGCGTTTTGACATAGTGTGTGTGTAACGGGGGTATGCTTGTGGAGAGAATAGGACGATGTAATTGTAAACAAAGCTCGTGAGATGATGTGACTGAAAGTAATGATTTTGTGCAAATTACGAAATTTATGCGTAGTAATTTTACGCGTTTGAAAATCCATCCCTCACTGTGTCCTTATTAACGCGTTCTTTTTTATTTCGTCATGGTGTTTCTATAAGGTTATGTAAGATTTTGTCGTTTTTAATGTTTCATGAAGGAGAACCATGGCTTTCCCGCCTTTAGTCAGCTCCACACCTCCGCCCTTAGACAACTTTGGAGAGTCTGATGAAGATGAGTTCGGAGACTTCACAGCTGGCGGAATAGATGGTATTTATGTATAAGTTAATGGATATTAATATCTACCACAATATCAATTAGCTTCTGTGTTTTCTTTCACACACACACACACACAGTTATTCTCTAATATATAGGTGTATTGTTACAGGCTTATCTGTTTCATCAGAGTCCCCGCAGAAACTTATCACTCCGATACAAACACCAATAACATCACAGAATGTATCTCCTAGGATAAATGGTATTAATGAATCACCAGTATTAGACAGTTGCTCTAAAATAAGCAAAGCCTTGAAATGTGGTGTTATTGATGACCTATTGATTGTCGAGAAGAGGGACGACAACGTGAGCCACATAAGATTGAAAGATAGAACAGATAATAGTAGCGTATTGGAAAACAATTTGGAAAACATTAGTATAAAAGAACACAATGTATTAGATGTACCTAGAAATGGCGATTCGCATAACGTTGAGACTAGTAATAGCATTGATCACGTTTGTACTCAGAATGTTTTAGCTAAAGAAAATTTTGTTGATACCGATGTAATTAGTAGCAACAATAGTAGTTTAGCTGATAGTGTAAAAACAGTCAGTGAACAGGAAGGATCGTTGAATGGTTTGGAGACAAACGACGAAATAGAACCCGCAAGCTTGGATTTGGAGGATCCCACAAGTACACCGGACATTCTACAGCAACTGGATGACGATTTTTACAATTACGAACAGTTTAAAGATTCCAGTGAATGGAATGATACTGTTTGTGATAAGAAGACAGATGTAACAATGACAGTTTTGCAGACGGATTATGATAAGCCTAATTCCATAGATGCAGAATGCAATGTAACAGATAAAATAGGAAACGCTTACACGCCATATGGCGAGAATGATGTCTGTGTCAATCATATTAATGATAAATCTACTTTTATTGATGATGAAAGGACAATTTCCAATTTTGTTACCTCGCAAGAACTTAATGTAGACAGTACTAATGTTTTTAGCCAGACAGACTGCGAATACAGTATTCAACCAAAATATATAGAGATGTACAATGTAATACCCAATGGTGAGACGAGCAAGTCGAGTAAAGCCTTAAATGATTCTTTTGATTTTGATTTTACTTTTGAAGATACCCTAAGAGAGAAATCAAATTTAGATTGTACATCTATGTATACCGAAGACATTTACATTCAAAAATCTAATGTGAAAAGCAATGAGAGTTATCCTCATAATGTCTGCGATGAAACCGATGTAGAAAATATGGTACAATCAAAAGAAAACGAAAAATATATAGATGTAGAAACAAATAATCAAATTGTTCAAAAAACAGACATGAATGGGGCAACTGAGGAAATTTTTGCTTATGAGGAAAAAAGCTCGCGTAACGAAGAAATAAATGAACAGTACATTCCGGAAGATGACTATGACGCACATAATCCAGATAATTCCGATTTTACGGAATTTATGGAGCATAAAGGTTTTGATGGTGTACCGGAGTTAAGAAGTAATTACAATCCAGAATCCATTAATAATGAGTGTGAAACAGTACAAATTCATGATTTGCATGCATTTTCATCTGATACGTCTTGTATACAAAAATTTTCATCATCTGAAGAAGCTTCACTGCCATCAGTTAATACATCCCTCGACTGCATAAAGGATAAAATTAATCTTACAAGTACTACAAGCGAATGTGCCACATATGAAAGCGAAAAATCTGTAGTATATTTTAGCGATGGCCAATTGTATGATTTTCATTTACGAAATATGGAACCAGTAACCAGCAGAGTACAAGATAATTATTCCGACTTTGAAAGTGCAGATAATGAAGATGATGATTTTGGTGATTTTACTAATTTTTCGAGTGCAACAATAGAATCGAAATTAAATGAGGATTCTAAAGAAATGAAGGTACCTGAGGATAATGACGATTTCGGAGACTTCAGCAATTTCGAAATATCAATGGGTGTAGTAGAGACACAGCAGATTAGTTTGAAAGAATCTATATGTCGGATAGAAAACAAGAACGTGAGTTTAGGAATGTTTGTAATACAAGATAGTTGATAGTTTTTTTTATTAGAAAAAAAAAAGTGTCGCTTTGGCTTAGATTTTTGCACAATTTTTATTTACATTAAACGTAAGTAATATAATTTAATATACTTTTTATATATATTTCGAAACAATTTCAGGCCGCGAATAAAATAGAAGATATAATAACAAATATGTTTCCAATGATTTCTGAACATCACGAAGTCGAATTAAAATCTTTAATAGATAAAACAGATAAAGTTTGGCAGAATGTGAAAAGCGTGGAGGAAACTAATGCTCTCACCTATCAATGGGCAAATAGTAGTAGTAACAACGTTCTTTTAAATGCTCTTGGTATTGATTCCCGAAATATTGTAAGTATTCGTATATTGCATATATTTAAAACTGAAAAAATTTTATACATTTATCCGAAAAAAATTACTTATATAATATTTGTTGTGACATTACAGCTATTTGGGCCGAGATGGAATCCTAATATACCAAGGTTTGCTGCAAATCTTGGTTTTACTCCATTGGAACCGATTAAAGCTACCGCTGAGTCTCAGCAGCCTTCTGCATCCAACACCAGCAAAATTCACGGTGCGGCTTGTTCAGATGTAAGTTGAGGCTTTATTTTCATAGGATACACATGTGAGTACAATCTACATGTTTATTAATAATTGTAATATTATATTAGGAAGTACCTGCCGCCCAATTTGATTGGAATAGTTCTGGTCTTGTAAATCCCCTAGATGCTAGTAAGTATTTATTGTAATTGTGTATGTGTGTGGTAGTTAAGATATTACATTGAAGGAAAAAAAATGCTAAAAAGTCACTCATATATTTTGCTAAATCGATATAATTACATATAAGGAAAGAGAAAATTTTCCTTTGAACAAGTATTTATTCTACATGCAGTATGTTGTGATATAATATTTAGACGTGTATTGAATTTTTTTCTTAAATCTTGCGAAAAATAACACAATACAGGTGGTGGTGGGTTATCCGCTCTTCTGCCTCTGGATTTGTTGTGTCCGTTTGATCCTCTATTAACACCCCATTGCTCCACACACTCCGAATCCTATCATCAGTCAGCTTGCTCAACGAACTCAGTTTATTACTGTAAGTGTTGAAGCTTTATAATGCATTTATCTTTTTGTATATGTGTATGTTGTGTGCATGTGATGTAATATATGTGAGTGCGCATATTTATAATTCTTGTATTCAAATAAAAAAATATGCTTTTTATATGATGCATATATATGAAATATTCAGTAGATTTCGCTTACTTGCTTGATTTTAAATTTTTATAGCAGATACTGTGTGTGTTATATTTGATTATATAGTTAATCACTTTTTATTATTATACAGATCCATCGGAAACACAAGAACCAAGTAGTCAGCTTGTAAAATCGCAAAATTTATCCGATTTTACTCATAGTTCGCTAAAGCAAAAGTCGTCTCAGATGTCCAAAATCATAGAACCATTGCCAGGACCATGTACAGTAGAATGGAAGAAGAAAGCCGAGCAAGATTTCGGTGCAAAACAGAAAGGCAACCAATCGCATAAAATTTTGAGAAATGTTCCGCCAAGCAACAATAAGTCGTTTCCGGTAAGCAATAATATTTCCAAAGTACATGATTATCATAGAAAGACATCGGTAGGTAGAAAAGAGAATACGCAAGGTTCGGAACACGTGGTCATGGATCGATACGGGCGACCGATGACTGTACAAGTTGAGACCGCAAGGATTCTGAATCAGTTGCCGGACCTGTCGTTTTTAAACGCAAGAACTTTGTTGTTCAATCGTGAGCAGAGGCAGATCGTGTCGGATCTAGGCGCGATGATAAATCGGAAGATGCCCGGCTGAGTAACATCGGTCTGAATGCGAGTTTGAAAGGGGCAAACGCGAGAGAGGAAACATCCCGGAGAACCTGTTGCAAATTGGACGTTTCTAAATAACCCATACAATCAAAACGTACTTCTGCTACCTTTCAAACCTGTGTTCAGACCAACCTCTGATCCAACCTTGGCTCTTCCGTGTCTGAAAAGGATAATGAGGCGCGTCCCAGATAGCAAAAGTAGTCGTTTTGACGACAAAATGATGTATTTTGACGTCAAAATGATGTCATAATAATTACTGTGGCTATCTGAGGTATATGAAACTGCTGTATTATTCATCTACTCGCTTGCGGCACCGAGCAATGCACTTTGACATTCCGAACCATCATTGTTTTGTGATTCTATAGGGCTGAGAATTATTGTTATGGAATCCTTTTGAAAAGAGTCTTTACTTCGTTGTCAAATTATAATTTAATGTTGCACTGATCGTTTTGATAAGTAAGTTTGTTTTGTTAGCTCAATGATTGTGTAATCCACTGAAGATAGTAACATTTTACACATCCTTAAATTAGATAGATTTAAGAATTCACATACATATATTCGGCCATGTTCTAGTCTACAGTTCTTAACATAAGTTTTATGTATTATATGTTAGGGAAAATTTGATTTGAGAGGGATATATATTTTCAATGATAATTGCGAGCAATTAAGCAGTTAAAGAGATTGTATTATATCTGTTATATCTCTCATATTAAGTTTATCTACTAACTCTTCTGAGATTATTCTCTTAGATGAGCAAACCCGAATATTAACCATATACATTTGAGATATCGCGCGTACTTTGTATAATATTCACCTATTACCAATTTCAAGCAATCGTAAATATTTCCAGTCATAATATAGAAAAGAGAAAACTACACACATATTTAACTCTATTCAAAATAAAAACTATATATTAATCGTAAGTCAATTATCAATTAGATTGATGAGAAGATTGATATCTGTAATGAAATCGTCGAGTGATATCGCATATATCAAATTCGCTTGATGCTTTTATTGCACATTTTGAATTTCTACTATGAAACGCGTGATGTACTTAATTATGTGTAAATGTAAAAGCATTTGCATATTAATTTTATTAGAACGAAACGATAAACTAATATTACCATTACCGGATTCGTTATTTATTAATGATAATATTGTAATATATATTTTATGTAAAATATTGTGGATAATATTAACACCTAGGCAATCTTTGACAATTGAATCGTTGTTATTTTTCTTAAACCGCACAAAATCATATCTCGCGAAAGTCCTAGATTTCTTTCCCGATCCTTGAATTTAACTTTTTTGCAAAAGAGCTATATACATGTCATATTTAATTTTATTAATTATATTATAATTTAAATGTAAAAGAACGATCGTAGTTTTGATTTTTACTAAATATAAGAGAATTTGTGTAAAGGAAGACTAAATCATAATTCTTAAAATATTTATTAAAAAATTAACTCATTATTTTATATTCAATTTTATATTTTATAAGAATGTTTTTTATCATCAATACACATATAAATATAATTTATTACATTAAGCAGCAATAGCTGTAATGTTTACAAAAATCATATGCAATTAGAATATATAATTAATAATATAATTAAAATTTGTATAATATATTATTACACACAAATTATATTCTATATAACGCAATAATTATTTTTACTATATATTATAATTTTGTTTTAGACTAGATTTTTAATTCAAATATATAATTGATTTATATAGATATGTGTGCACAATTTAAAAGAATTAATACTCTAAATAAGTAGAAATTTTGAAGAAAAACATATGCATATATAGTTAGGATAACGCATTGTCATCCGCGATTTGGCTCTTGTTGCCCGTCTTATACGTTAAATTTATATATGCATATATGTTTGTAAATATATTGAAATTGCACTGTTAATCTTTTAAATGCAAGAAAGAGTATGCAAAAATGTAATAAATGATTATTTTGTTATTAAGAAAATAGATCTTCTTGAGACTCTTCTTCTGAAAAATCAAGGACTCGTTTTGAGCCTCTTGTATGATATACATCTCTATTTTGTAATGTTAACTTGTCCTTGCTAGTAGAAGGCTCAGGATTTATGTCTTCATTAGAAGAGAAATTTGTACATCTCTTGAAATTTATCTTATTATTCTTTGGTGTAATTTTTTGCTCATTTTTATAATCCACTTTGCGTTTTCTTGAATTAAATGCTGTATCATGCATTTTCATACTTTCTACATCTGATTTCTCGTTTTCATCATCAGTAGTGTCATCATATACTGATTTTGTTGTTTGTTTGTTGCTATCTAAGGCTTTGTGAAGTTTTCTAATCTTTTCTTTCTTTGCATTTAAAAGCAAAAGAAATTTCATGTAAAGATCCTTTTCCATTTCATCTTTTATATTTATCATTTTTTCTACATCTGTGGTCAGCTTTATATTGTTTTCATTCACGCATTTGTTCTCTTGTTTCAATGTTAGCATCTCCTCTTTACATTTTTGATAAAGCTCCAATAATTGTTTAAAAATATCAGAAATAGTTAATATATTTGAAAGAGGATATACTGCAATTTCCCCACGCGTAAGAATATTTTGCTGTTTCCATGTAAATGTATCATCTTGCAGAAAGAAATGTATGTCAGCATTTTCACCAGAAAATGCATGTCTAGTTTTCTCCAAATATATTTCAAAAGACTCATCCAAATGATTTAGAAAATAATTGGCATTTTCTGTGTGCATCTAAAAAAATAAAGATATCATTAAGAATACATGTAATAAAAGATATACAGGATAATCATGAGTGACACAAGTAATATACACAATTGAATGAGTAAATATTAATGACATTTATAAGTATACCTCTCCGCTCAATGGTACTGTGCATGGTCTCAACAATATTATTTTAAAATGCGTATCCTCCCATTCTGCGTACAATGTAAAATTGCTCTTGTCCACTTGATTCACGAGCTGACTCACGCTCACGTTAATCATGATTTCATTTCAATAATTCAGAAAAGATATGTAATATAAATATAAAACAACGAAGGAATTGTGAAAAACATTTGATATCTGATGCTCTGATAAATTTTTAATAGATTTGGTAAAAAATTATGAAAATTCAGTCAGAAAAAATTAAAATTTTAATATATTTTGTCGACTAGAAATGAAACTCTTATATTTTAATTGTGATAAAAATTGATAATGTGCGCGAGCACATAAGATTAGCAACATGTTGGAGCATGTTACGAGGCATCACATGTCATCAGCTGATGGCTGACGCGCGCATGCGCTTTTGATAATTGATATGATTTACATATATGCACTGCACATGAGCATGCGTTTGTTTTGTTTAAAATTAAAAAAAATTCGAAAAACAAAATAATATATTTGAGAAGTTGAAATGAGATTATTGTGCACTTAATAACAGTTTCTCGATTTTATGAGCAATAATATTGTCTCTTACTAAAAATACGATTAAAATTGTTGGAGAATAACCAAGAATAACATTGTTGAATTTTACTGCTTGCACAAATTTGTGAAGTGTTCAAACAATAAAAAAGTTAGGTCAGAAGAGAGAAAAAGAGAATTATTTTGAATATTATTAACTTGTGATTTTTATATGTATAATATGTTACAATTTGATAGAAGATGAAACATTACATGCTTTTATAAAGCATAAACTCGAATATCCCAATAGGGAATCTCTACTTGGAATAAAATTTTTTACACCAATTATATAACATAAAAGTATAATACATATTTGCTTGATAAGGTAAGCTTAATAATTTATCAGTCATTAATTTTATAAACATGTCATATCTAATATTAATTATAATTAAATTTACAGGTTATATTTTGCTAAGAAATTGTTCAAATTTAAATTGATATTTGCTTAAAACTCTTATTCATTACATATATATTTATATCGATATAACTGGAACAAAAAAATAAAACAGATTGGAGACATGGAACGTTTACCATTACCCAAAGCATTAGAATCATTAGCGTGGCTAGAAGGAACATGGAGAATAGACAACTATGGCAATGGCAAATATACAACTATTAAAGATTTCAAATATTATGAAGAAATAAGTTTTACATGTATAGGACAACCCATGTTCAATTATACTGCTCGAAGCTACTCTGTTTCGGAACCAAGAAAACCAATGGCTCAATCAACAGGTTTTTGAGAGTGAATCCAGAAACTAATAAAGTATTTCTTATCTTGGCACATAATTTTGGTTTAACAAGTATTGAAGAGGGTGAAGTAATTAACAATACAATTTACTTGAACAGCGTTGATATATTAAGAATGAAAGAGGCAAAACCACCGCAAGTGACACAGGTATGTGTTCAAAAATATTTTAAACTTTTATTCAGTTTAATTCATACTTAATTTAATAATTCACATTTATATAAATATTATTTTGAATTAATATATAAATTATACTTTTTAAATTTATGATTTTTTTATGATTACAGATACGTAGAGAATTCAAACTCGATGGAAATCATTTAGAGCATGTGCTTTATATGGCGACCGCGAATACCCCAGTATTGACTGAACATTTGCGAGCAAAGTATGTAAAAGTGAAGGAAGAGGATATAAAAAATATGTGAAAGAAATGTGAACAAACATTTGAAATGTGAAAAATGTACGTTTTATTGTATAGTTTTCACCATTTACTTTATAATTTCCTGTAAGTAGATAATACATTTTTGTAATAATAGTAAAAGTATTACAAATGAATAAAATTAAGAAATAGCAGGTTAAAGCACGTACCGAATTAGCCATTCACTATTCATGTAATAATTTTCAGTGATATTATCTGTGCTCATGTTACATAACGAATCTATTATGTATCCGTAAATCTTAATACTATCTGTCATTTAGATCTTGCAAAATTACTACAAAAATAGAGTTTACTGCTATTACATAATAACTTTATAATACACGAAGTTTATATTCCTTTGCAATCGACCGTCATAATTTCTGTTGTGAATATCAAATGATTTATGATCTTAAGAATTATTGCATGCAAACATATAATCATATTGTAATAGATGAGACATCTCAGAAAAATATAAATGCTGGATACTTTGTGCGACGATCTCCCAGTATACAATACGCATCTCTGTGCGCATTTCGAGTGCGGATACGTATTAAATATTAAAATTTTTGATCACTTGCATTGGATTTGCATTATCCAACAGCCGTGAAAAATGAATATGACAATATTACCGTTGCACGAGTTGCTACATATACTGGCCTGGTTGGAGGGCACGTGGATAACGCAGGATCCCGCGGTCGGGATGTATCCGACCATCAAGTCGTTCAATTATTACGATGAGATAAATATCACGTCCCTTGGTCAACCGTTATTCAATTACGTTGCGCAGAGTTGGCATCCGGAATCGGGCACGCCGATGCATCGGGAAACTGGCTTCCTGCAGATTTTACCGGGGACCAACAAGATCGTCCTGAGTTTGATTGATAATATAGGTCTGTTCACAGTCGAGCAGGGTGAACTGATGATGAACGATGCTAAAACCTTCGATTTAAAAAGCACCAATATATTGGCGACAGACGCATCGATACCATCTTTTCCAACTTTAACGGAGGTACAATTTTTTTCTAAATATCGCTTAATAATCATGTTCAATGTTTAATGTGTTTTTTATTTTTAACAGACGCGTCGAGTATTTAAATTCGATGGTGACACTTTGGAACTAATCTTTTACATGGCAACGTCAAAAACGCCAGAATTGACGGAACATTTGCGTGCGAAGTATAAGAAAGTCGCTTGTCCATATGCCAAGAAGACCCAGGAATAGGAGGATAAAATACTATACAAGTTAACGTTTTTCATTTTTTGTTACAATTCTCGGAGTAGGATATGAATATAAAGTTTTTAAAAGATGCGAAATGTAAACGCATTCTTCGATGTAGCTAATAAATGTACAATAAAATATTTAGATCTAATTTATCAGTACAATGCATTAATGCATTAATGTGTATTAATATTAGTTTATATACATTAATGTATTAATGTATTAATATTAGTTTATATACAAAATTATATATACGTTTTGTCTTCCATGTTACGAAGATAAATCAAGTAGATAAAAGGTCGGAGGTCGGCGCACACAATACGTAGAAAATTCGCGGCTGGCACGCGACGTGACCGCACAGAGAACTGCGCCACAGATTATATTCTTAAGCGTATCCTTTTTCATTCGATCGATGAAATTTAGTTATATTTTATTACATTAACGATCAATATGACTTTTATTGATTGTGATACATTTACGTTACGTCCAAATATCAAATTTTTTTAAATTGATTTTTACTTTTTAATCATACGATTGTATGTAGAATGTAGCGAAATGGAATTTAATATAAAAAATCGAAGTATAGGAATATTTTTACAATATGCTACATTTTAAATGATGTGATAACGAAATTTATCAGCATATCTAGTTTAATTCAATTTAAGATCATAATATATCAAAAGAGAAATGAAGGAATTAATTTTGATTTTTGTTTAAAAGTTCTATGTTAAAAATTAGCAAATTAAAATGAAGTGAAAAATGTTTATTTTAGCTGCGAGGCTGGAAATTTTTCTCTTGGTAAAAAGAATATATAAAATAATATTATTAAATCATTTTCTTGTTTCTCTTTATATTATAATTTTGAATTTAATTATTATATATTAATTTGTAATTATTTTATTTAATACTGTATTTTCCAATTTTTTAAATGGAAAGAATGCGTGATTCATGTTAATCTGAGATGATAATCGTTTGAATGCGTCGAGAATGTATATTTACGTGTTTCGTAATATTAAGAAACTTGAATTAAATAACCGCTACTGCTTAGTCGCATGAATTCACTCGGCACAAGGGGGTAGGGAATGTAACACCTGCGTGTTTACCCGCTGAAATAGCCCCGACCTGCCGCGGTTGAACCGATGTCGATCGTGACAGTTGCTCGCTGCGTCGGCATGACGAAGGATCGTTCTCTGGCACGAGGACACGGATATCGAAATTAATCTTCAAATATCTCGCATTACCAAACCGCAAGTGCTTGTTACATTGTCATCATCGTCGTCATATGCCGCCATTAATTCAATAAGATGATTCGAGCAACTTGGTGACATTTAATATACGTATGTTCTTTTGCTCAATTTATTTTGCATGCGATTTTTAGATTGTTTTTTTTTCTTTAAATCATTTTTGAGTTCAGCAAACATCTGTCGCGTATTTAAATTGTCATGCAGGATTGTTAATTTTGTAACATTTCGAGAAAATGTTATATTTCCTTTCTTCCTTTATTATATTTCCTCTATTTTTGGGCATTTATATATAAAGGACTTATATCTTTATTTTAAATATGTACTTATCTAACAAATTTTTTTTAAACTATAATATTAAATTGAAAAGGGATTGATGTATACATAAATATAAAATAAGTCAGATGTAGATATTAGGGGTAACAAATTTGTTTTAAAATTCTATTTTAAATATTTTATATTTCTTTCACAATCTTTTTTAATTTAATTATTAACAGTTTGCATGTTTTGTATCTCTTGAATTTATCTTCTCTCGAAAGAATTAACATATTAAAAAAATAATAAATTGAAAAGGCTGTGACATAAATATACAAAACACGTTATAAAAATCAGGCACAAATATATGTAATATATAGATGCAGTAAAATTATTTTTAAATTTTTCACTTTGGATAAATTATACTTATTTTGGATAAATAATACTGACTGACAATGAGTACTATTTGTTTAATTACGAATATAAAGATGTTTGCTCTTGTTCTTTCCTTCTCCAGCCCTCTTTGATACTAAGGATGGTCCAAAGAAAGAACCAAAACGTTAAAAATAATGATGAAGGACTTTAAAAATAATTGTATTGTACTTAATATCTGTACCCGGTTCTTATCAGCTTTTTTATATTTTTTATATTTTGTATTTTAATAATTTGATTTTATTCAAGGTATTTAAGAACTATGGAAAGTGGAGAAAAGAATAGAAACGCGTTTATTTGTGCGACTGCATCATTCGGATTCATTCATTTTTTTAATGGATGCTTGCTAAATTATTCGAATACATAAGACTGTAATGATCTTGTGTTTCGAATCACGACGCGTTTGGTCCACGCGCAATTTGAACTTGCGTCATTGAATCGATCGATATCACCTCTCGATGCGCTCAATCGACTTTGGACTTTTTGACTTTTGAATGGCGCGTAGCATGGCACCGCTTTACGATGGCAATAACTATTATAAGAGGATGTTTGAACTTCAGGAGAAATTGCGAAAGAGGCAAGTACACCAAGCTTTAACGAAATAATACACTGAATATGTCGCAAGAAAATAATGATGAATATTGTAAATTTTTCAGCGAAGAGGAAAGAATACGATTGGAAGAAAGATTCAACGTGCTTGTGCGAGAATCTCATAATAGGTGAGCGAGTATCTTGATTAATCCGAAATTAAAAAATTTTCTGAACTTGATTTTTTGATGTTGAGAGATTTAAGTAATGCAATATAAAATCAGCTGTGTAAAGTCTGTACAATACGTCACGTGACATAAGACCTATTATGATTCGTTTCATAAAAATTAATAGTAATATATTATACATATTTTTATTTTCTTTTCCAATTTAAACTTCTTTAAATTAATTTTGTTTTCGAAGAATAAAAATTATATTATTTCTCTATTATTTTCTAAATTTTATTTAATTATATATTGTGTGTAAGTAATACATTAATAAACATGATCAACTTTAGATAATGACTAAGTTTATGAACTAAGTTCTTATCTAAAATCTTTAGCAAATTTTTCGAATTTAAAATGCGGAAGAAGAACGAATAATTTCGTCTCATCTAGTGCAGTAACGATGTAAAGAAATTACCCAAAATACTCGATATCGATTCAATGGCAACCCGGTTTTACGCGGGATGTTACGATCAATAACGCTGCGAGCATAATCTCATTCTCGTCATCGTCGTCCAACATATCTCCATTCGCGAAATCCGTTTCCTCGTTGTTTACGTGTCCCGATTCGTGTCTGGCCGAGACATCCGAGCACTTCATCGATCGTGAAGACAGGATAAGAACGCGCACATATTTCATGCCATAGTCTGTTTTAAAGCGATGCTTTAGCTAGGTATATTTGTCACGAAGACGCGACCTTCCGCTTTCAAGGTGTCACGAAATGCTCTTCGATTGTACGCAGATCGCATTAGATTCTTGATTGATTGATATAAATAACCGAAAAGTATCGACTAAAGAAAATAATACATAATTTTTATTTCTAATTCTAATTTTATATATAGTACTGTAAAATTTACAAATATCTATGTTATAAGCGTACAAATAAGAGAAAAAAATGTTTCTTTAGTAAGAGTAATTGTGGAGCTTAAACTTATCATTTGACGTAACTCGATTTTTTTATTTCAGACACAATTCTTGCATAAATCAATTGCGCATGAGATATATACAATATTTAGAAGAACAACGTATGAGAGATGAGAGAAATCATAAGCTTCTCGCAGTATTAGACAAGGTCATGAACAAGCTTGCATTAATAAGCGCGAAAAAAGACAGACTCAATGTTCTCAGAGTAAGTGTCTATTATTTTAATTTCCGATTTATAATTATTTAAAATAATTTATAATATTGAAATATTTTTCTTATATAAAAATATTAAATTTATTGCATTGAAAATAAGTTGTTGAAAAGTACTAGCAATTATATTGAAAAAATTTACCTACCTTGTTAGCTTTTTCTAAATTGATTCACTAAAAAGAAATTAATTTCTTCATTCATTTAAGAGTTATTTAGAGATTTTAATAAAATAAACTTTGGAAAATTTCTTGCAAAGAAAAATTTTATTCTATTTTTTATATCTATAAGAGTTCAAAATAATCATTCTTCTATAGGTATAAAATAAAAGTATATAGAAAAAAGAAATACTTAAGTTTTTAATTTTTTTCAATATTTGTGTTTTGGTTACATAATAAAAAATGTCAAATATTTTAATATCTTAAATTTTCTATATATTATATTGCACATATGTATGCACTTTTCTCTTATAATCACAAGAAGATAGCTGTTAGTATCAAATAAGTATCAACCTATGTCTTCTAACGAGCAAAATTCTTGGCTCCTTTCCAGAAACAATATGAAGCTCATCTGCTTCGCGTTTACGCCAATCGACAACAACCTGGTAGCGTTACTGGAGACAGCGGAATCGTCAGTCAAAATGAGGATAAATACACGAGGAAAATCGTCACGGTAACGCAGCCTGATGTAGCGGAAACGAGAGACGTTTTGTCACCGCGAGCACATCTGTCCGCTCGATCAAATCAACCAAAGTCTACCTCCACGTCCAAATTGCACGATCAAATCGCTGTAAACGGCGCTTCATTAAATCATTCTCCGATCTTGCCAACTACGTCATTAGCTGCACCTCTCGGTGTCGATCATCAGACGTACGTTCTACGGGAACCGCATGTCTCACCGATCGGTCAATCGAGCGAACAGTTCGCTCAAGTGTCAGCAATTTCCTCGCCAAATGCCCGTCAATATCCGCGAACGATTTTCGGTCATGACGGGACTCTTCAAGATGTTCAGGATGGTAAATTTCGTATATCGCACACGAAAACACCGGTTTTGCAGACGACGTTCTCGGACCAGATTCAACCCGATGCTGTTCCCGTTAATCGATTCTTCAAAGAGCACGTAGAATCGGTGCAAGCATCTTCTGGTCTCTCGCCGCGAGCGCAATTTCCCGCTGGGGATGCAGTGCGATACGAAGAGCCTGTTCCACGACGATTCGATCCTTTGACCGTGTTACAATATCACGATCCTAATATATTACTATCTCGTCCGCAATCGCGAATAAGGGAATACAATCCGTCCGATTTTGCGGAACCTTCTTTGATGACAGCGAAATCGAGTACATATCGAGTGGATCCCAATATAAGTGTCGTTAATCAAGTCGGTCCGTTACCAGGATATATGGATTATACTCCTCACAAGTCCGAGGACGAAGGATCTATACGTTCCCTCACCAGCGACGACGTAGACGATCTGATAAGGCGCAACGAGCATCTATTCTTGAAAAGCGCGGACGGTGCCAAGATTCAACGATCGCCGATCGATGTTTCAGGATTGTATAACCTGGACGAGAACGGCAGGACAAGGACGACAGCGATACTGGAGAACGAATTGGACCGATACATTAATAAAATTCGGAAAATCCATCGGGAGCATGGAGTGACGAGCTTGGAGGAGCTGGATCATGAGCAGAATACTAGTGGTGATGTGCTGAACGTCAGTTTGTCGGAGGATGCTGTGGAGCTTCCGGTCGAGAATCGGGTGAGAATGGAGCGAATGTCCGAGGAGATGGACAGGATCCTGGCGTTGGCCAGCGATCTCGCGTCCAGGACGCCTGGACTGAAGGAGGTGACGCGAGATACAGCCGGGCAAAGCGACAACTTACCCGCAGAAGTTGCTGGGAACGAAATTAAACATCGTGAAGCGACGACGGACGATACATTGCAGCTCGAAGGAAAATGCGAGGCCGAAGGTCGCGGGATCTCGGCGAGAAACGAAATTAGAGAGGACGTTGCGACACACTCAACGGAATTAGAACAAACGCGTAGAAACGCGGAGATTGCGAAAGAGAGCTGGAATAATGCGGACGATTCAGCCGAATCTCGAGAGCGAAAACTGTCTGTTGTGAAGAAAGATGACACGCATGAAAAACAACTACATCCTTGGCTAATGAATCACAGATCAATGATGAGAAAAATGCATCGAAGAAAAAACAATTCGATCTTGTTACCGGTAAAGAATCGAATATCGAAGGCCTGTTCGACGTCGCCGAGGAATTGGCCCCGTGGAATCTCGCGAGCGTGCAAAAGGAAGTTCTAGAATTACATTTGGACGATTCTGACGGAGATCGAGCGGTGAAGAAGGATGCTGAAGAGACGGAGAACAGAACTGTCGATGAAATTGCGAACGAATCACCGTTCACCGAGCAAAGCGGCGCAGATGATAAAGTGGAGAACGTGCATCTTCCTCAAGACACGCTTCCTCAAGCGGAGATGGAGTCGAAGAAGATGGATGTAAACGAGTCCCATGAAACACATCCTCCTATCAAGGATGCTGAAAACATGAGCTATCAAATGTCGAATCAACATGAAGCCGGCGAACCCGCGATCGCATTCCAGGCAAATGAAGAACTTGGCGAATCAAGGGAAAATAATGAAAATCAGGATCACGACAAGACGACTTCGAACCAGGAACCTCAGAGCGATGATCGATCTCAGAATATGATGAAAGATAATGAATACAGTCCTGAGCAAGTATATGTCGAGGATCCAAGTCAAGAGCGACAATACGAACAAGATCCAAATCAACAATATTATGAGCAAAGTATGGCATATGAAGGAGGTAACATTAGTAACGAAGAATATGCGAGCTATGCCACGCAAGGATTCGCTCAAGAAGGACAAGAATATGTCGAATACGTGGATAATCAATACGAGCAATATCCTGAAGATCCTAATAATCCGCAATATCAGCACGATCCTAACGCGCAGTACGAGCAGGATCCGAATCAAGCGTACGATTACAATTACGATCCTAATCAAGGATACGGAGATGATCCCAACCAGCAATACGATCCCAATCAAGGGTACGGAGACAGTTCTGGTAATCAGGCGTACGAGTACACCGAACAAGTTCCGTACGGTCCTAATCAGGTGTATGATAATATGTACGAGCAAGAGTACAAGGAAGAGCAGAACAATCCTGACGATAACGTCGTCGAAAATCGCGGAGAACCGGAAACGGAAGAAACCTCGCAGAGACAGGGGGATCCGGAGTCGGAACACAAATCGGGCAGAGATGAAGATGAATCGCAGCAAGCGGAAGCTGTCAACGGGACGAAGAAGAAGAAGGACGTGATTAAATCCTTGCTGGATTCTGACACAGATACGACAATCGAGAGAAACGTCTCGAATACGGAAAGTGATTTTGATTTTAATTAAATATACAGTACGCGCAACAGAAATATATAAAATTTGTATAAAGAGATAAAGGTAAAGGTGCAGTAATCGCAAGATCCTGTTAATAAAATTAAATGCGTCAAAGAAGAAAGTGACTGAATCTATGTCGAGGATCAAGATCAATTTCACCAGAAGTGTCCGAAACAGTGATTTTAATTAAAATGTGTGTGCAATATCTCTCGAAGAGACTAAGTTAAGTATAGATGAAGAAAAGTACAGTAATTCTTTCAATGTGGCAACTCTAGTTCAAAAAGATATGCTTTCAATTTTTGCTGAATTTCAATATTTATTTCGCTTGTAATAATGAACAGCGAATTCAATTTTAATTAGAGCTTTAATTAAAGTTTATGAATTGTAGTAAACGAAAATAATTAATCTCATCGGAATTCTGCTTGAAATATTATCATAAATCTATATTTATATATGTAGGTGCAGAATAAAATGACAAAACAAGATGCAAATAAAATTATTATATATTATTTTATAGATGCTTTATTATGCATATACAATATTTTCGATTAATGTACAGCTAAATTTGAATATAATTAATTATCTGCACATATGAGAGAACTATGCGCCTATAGAATTGTGAAAAGATTCGTTCTTATTAAAAATAACATGGATTTAATTGTAAGAATCTATAGATTTACATTGTAAGAATCGATTATTATTTAAAAATACTTATTAAGTTTGAAAGAAATTATATTAGAATATAGTTTTTATATAGAAAGAAAAGATTATAATTAATTCAAGATTTTAAAAGATTAAAAAATACTTTTAATATATTAGTTATCTTTTTAATATATTAGTTATCTGTAAAATTAGAGTAAAAATGCTAAGTAATATTGGAGTAAAATAAACACTATTAAGAGACTTCTTTAAATAATCATTTAAAGTCAGATTTTTTTATTCTGTGCTCATTAAAAAATATATATATATACACATATATAATTATAGTTTGAACAATAGATGTAATAAATTAGTAGATGTTACATTTTATGAGTTTACTTATATCTATAATATAATAATAATTAATATATAGCTATTATACTTTTTATATACATATGTACATTATTGTAATAGAAACAGATGTAATCAATCAAATTTGTTCTCTTTTAAAAAATAATATTTTGATAAATGTATAATTTTCCAAGACAGATACATAATATTTTAAAGAATTAAAAAATACTTTAATTTATACTTTGAAAATACTTTAATTAAAAGATGCTTGTAAAATTGAGCTGAAGAGTGCAAATTTGAGATTGAGAAATTGATTGAATTAATGAGATGAATTAAGTGTTTTTCAGTTTTTTTGCACGTATAAAAGACGTGTATGTGCTGTATAATTAGCACAGCACGACGGCGGCGGTCAGTCGCGCGGTATGGATTTTCATGGGATCGACGGGAACGAGTCTGCGCCACTCGTGCGATTTTCGCAGCTGCGTCGCGTCTCCTCGACCAATCACGCTTACAGTCCCACGCGCACCACACCACGGACGCAGTGCCGTAAGAGCCGCCGGTGAAGAGGTCCTTCATCCAGCTACTTCCACCGTAGATATCTCGAGAAAGGTACATAAATTACGCTCTCCTCTATATTTATTAATTATTCCTTTTCTTTTCCTCTCTTCTCGCTTCTCTACAAATTACGAAATTGCGTAGAATCATAACCCTTTCACGATAAATAAAGTGAAGAAAGTGATACGAGACAGCAATGGATGAGAATTCGTGGAAAAAAATAGAATTATTAATTCCTATGTCAGTTTTATTGCGTATCGAATTTTCTCTGCACAGATAGGAAAAAAGTATAAAAAAAATCAATTGAGTTCCATTCATATCAACCGGAAGGTAGTTCAATAAAAGATATCGATATGCCCGCTCTCGCATATATACGTCACTTTGATATATCGAAAGCAGCGTGCTCGCATATATACGGCATACGTCAAGAGTTTGCGAGCGCACGATGACGCACACGAGTGTGTTTACGCGCAGCTGACAGCTCGCGGCGACTCATTTGACAGTTCGGTTCTCCAGACGTGCGTCGAGCGGAAATCTCGCGTGTTCCGAAGATCATCATATTTATATCTCGCGTCATATTTATCGCGTCTCAATTGTATCGTAGATCGTCGAATTCGAATTAATCGAGTGGCGTGAACGTTCTCTCGCTCGCTGCGCCACCTCTCGCGCAGCTGTTTCCTCCATCCAAAGTATTCTGGAGCCGCGCGCGCGACGCATCTCCTCCTCCTGTGTCAGAGCAGAATAAGCGAAACGTAAGTGTGACTGTCGTTCGTGAACGACGCGATAACTCGCGGATTTCCGCGGCGCGAGGAGTGACAGCGGGATCGATAACGAGCACGAGTTGATTATTGGTACATCGTCATCTCGACACGCGTATACGGAGATTCATTAGCGTATCGATCAAAGAATCCGGTTGGGCACGACCCACGTGTGTGTGTATGTGTGTTCTCGTTCTCTCGCGAAACTCGTTAATGGCGTATATTATGACGGAGAATTCATTCATGTGAGCGAGAAGAGTGCGTGCATACTTATCGTTACGGACCTGTTTAAATCTATATTTGTTTATCGCTGTATACCGGTAGGTTTTAAACAGTAGTAATGTAAATATTTATTCGAACGAGACTCAATTTTCTCTTGATGACATTTTAAAGAGACTGAAATGTTTATCTCTTTTTTTCTTTCTCATGATACTTCACGGCGATCAGCTGAGCGCGTGTTAATCTTAAATTGGGAAAGCATTTTTTGATATTGATACATGTATTTATATTAAAGAATTGCACATTTAAATGTAATATAACAGAGTGATGTATAAATATATATTATCAAAAATAATAAGTATGTATTTCAGGTAAAGATTTAATTTATTCGATCAAACGAGATTAATAAAAGACTTTTATTGACAGATATTGTTCTCGCTGATTAAAATATTTTAATAAATTATAGAAACAATCTGTAATAAAAACTTTTTTATTAGTTTGTATAGGCAAATAAAAAATGTTTGCTCATTGTCTTTAGATATATATGTATACTTTCAAGTCACAGGTTAACACATTCAGTATGATTGGCTGGCACGTATTGTAATGTAAATTGATTCAAGTGTAAATTATGGTCGATTTTGTTAAATATGTACAATGAAATTCAAACATTAACTATATATGTCATAGAGCATATTCGTGAATTTACTGTGTGTTGATTTTTAAAACGGCACATACAAAAATTTCACACATTCGCTATTTTGAAAAATTTTCGAAAATGTATTTACACCATCAATTACACAGTAACAGACACTTATAAACTTACAATTCTATTGTATTAAAAATCAAATTAATCGGAGTAGAATGACGATGTTAATAATACGTAAATTGAATTGTATATAAATATCTTGTTAACGTTACTTAAAAATATCTTGTTTACTTTACACTTGTTAGCATCAGATCAATTGATTATTTGTTTACGCATCTTTTTCAATAATTTCTTTTTAATAATCAGATGATAAATAATGCATATATGTTTTATTTGAAGAAATAATAATTATATAATTATAATCACAAATAATAATTACAATTCTTTTATGTCGGAAATTATAAATAAATCCGTGCGCAGTGCGATTTTCTTTTTTCATAATTTTTCAGTATTTCTTTATCACGATGCAATCTTATTGATAAGAAGAATGAGTATATGTTAATTCAAATATATATATGTGTGTGTGTGTGTATATAAAAAGAACACCATGTTTGATGAAAAACAGTTTGATAAAAAATCGTTTCTATATTTTAATTGTTACTCTAAAGATGATTTAATTAATAGCATTTTTAATATTTGTTTTTATAATTTATAATTATAGTATATATTAATAAAAATCAATTAAAAAAAAGTAACAATCACGAATATGGAAATAATATAGAAACTATAAAATAATATAATATTAATAATATAAATAAATATAATATTTTTACTAGATTTTTATATTTCTTAGAATCACTTATTTTTTATATAATTACAAAAAAAAATAAATTTTATTATCGGGTGCTTATCAAATAATTTGTGGCTGATAATGCAGCCACGCCGTCGTTGCGGGTGATTAAAGAAATGTGACGAATTAAGATGACGAATTTGCATTTGCAGAATTATGGAAGACGTGATGACTGTGAATGGGGTGAAGGAGGTGAACGGAAGTGCGGACAGGATTTACTATGAATTGGATGGCGAAGGCGACGCCGACAGCTCGACGACTCCGAGTCACAATGTGGATCATCATCGCGATCGTGAGTACTATATCGATTGTTATTTCACAATGTCTTTCTTTTTCTTTTACTCACTAGTTCTAATCGATTAGCAGCGCGATAAGAACGAGGAGTTATGCAATCGTGAGATAGTCACATGCAAAAATTATGCGACAAAATAAAGAGTCTATGACAGACCTTTACTTATTGTAGTTTTTTTATTTTCTTGAAATGTACCATTTTAAAATAAGTTAGTCTCTGACAAGTTTTGCGCGTCAAAATTAATCTTTAAATCGTAAGATTTATCGCATTTTTTCGTAGAAAAGAAAAATTATTGCACAATTTCTTTTTGTGAATACTAAATAATGATAAAATCTCTAAAATATAACGATTGCAAAGACATTCTTTGATTAGTTTAAAATCAATTTTTTCGAAACATTTATTAATTAAAAATTAATTAAACACTATTTTTTCATAATCTCGTATTTTAAATACTACGTGACGGTCAATCACCTTCGTTTGGATAGAATTACGGGAAACGAGCGCGAAACATGCTTTCGCTAAATGATGCATTATAATAGTCACAATTCGTGCATGATTACACTAATTTATCTCTTTCTCCCTCTCCCTTTCTCTTGCATGAAAGGCGAAGTTAATTAAAGTTCGCGAGAACGGTAGAGAGATCGATATGAATTATACATATAGATATAGCAACCACGATAAGGAAACGAATGTCTCGTCGATCTTCTATGCGGACTAGAATTTGCTGATCCTAGTAGTACCAGGTACACAAGATTTTATTACAAATCTGAGAAATAAATCAATATTATAAATAAAATATCGGAAACTGTGAAAAATCGTAATTGTTTGTAGATTGGATAAAAAAGAAAAAAATTGTGAAACATTTAATGGATATTATTACTTTCGGATATTTTTTATTATCTTGCCAATATAATCATTAATCATAAAATTTATTTATTCAAATAATAATAAATTTTTCACTGAATCTTGTATTCCATGTTCGTTTCCGATCTATTTTTAATATTAAGAAGTATTAATTGAATTTTAATATTGATTTATTTTCTGTCGATTGACGTGAGTGAAGGTTTCGGAAATTGGCAGACAGCCTAAGAGTTTCTCTCTGCAGACACGGCCGATAATATTTTGGTCGTCGTTACAATGGTTCGTCTCTCGTTTCGTCAGTACGAAGCGAGACTTTCAGAATAGAGGCAAGACAACGTGCAAATTAACGACGTAGAAATAAATCGCGATTTGACGATAGTTTCGCGATATCCTCCATTGAGTTGCGTTACGCATAGTTATAAATCTTGAAGGTGATATATTACACGTGAAATTTGGAAAATTTCGAAACACAGCTTCCGCAGCTTGTGTAATCAACAATAATCGTGAATCTTCAAAGTTGTGCACGTGAAATTTGCAAAATTCCGTGAA